TTTATTGGAAGTTACAGAAATCAAAATAATTTCATTTCACTAAAACTGCCGCTTTTGGCTAAACCATTCAGTCATTAAAAAGTTGTGCTTACGAGGGTATTGCCAGTAATAATATTAATATTAATATTAATACAATATGGTACTTCTGTTATGATCAGAAGGCTAAGATAAATTATCTCTTGTAAAATTTCCACCTTTTTTGAACAAAATTACTGTATTTCCTTATTTCTATGCAAGCAAATTAAGTGTTCTTACACTTAATACATCATCTATTCGCTTGCAGGGTATAAATACGAATGACGAAGATAAAGTATGGATAGATGAAAAATTTTTGGAACATATCCCACCCACTGTGTCTATTTTGAGTTTATCTGTTGGCAAAGAAATTAATGTCAGAAATTGGGTATTCATACGGAAATTTAAAAAGTAAGTCCAATTCTATATAAAAATATCGCTCTTTTCATTTGTTCGTTTTTGTCTTTGCTAGCAATCATCAAATTTTAATATATTCACTATCATTTTAGTAAAATAATACCAATCATTAAAGAATTGTATCTAAAAACCATTATGATTTTTTTCAAAGAAAAGCTTGCGATATTTAGATTTTCTGAACTAATATAGAATTATTGACAAAAAAGATAATTTTCATGTTTTTTCTAGTTTACGATATCTTGATCTTCGAAAATCATTCGTACAGCTTATTGATACTTTGGTTATAGAAGCTACTAATTTGGTTTTCCTAGACTTATCTCATTCTCCATGTGTAACAAACTTTTCCCCTATTGGCAGGTTAAAACTGCTTAGGTTTGATTTACTTTATATAGACTCTTGAATTCCCGGACAAATTTAAATTTGAATTTCAAATTCAAAAACATCTTTCCATCCTTTCATATTTTTTATTATTAAACCTTTAAGCAAAATACTGTCCAAAAATTGTTTTGCAAAAACTTATCATGAATAGGATTCATTACTTTTATTTATATTTTCCTGCAGCTTAATAGATGTGTATGATTGTTTTTTACATCTAAGCTGAATATAGTTTTCTACAGCTACAGTAATGACTGTAGTTTTTGACTAGAAAACAATTCAACGAATTTTTTAGACTGCTGTTTATCGTTATTATGTTCCTGTTGGCTAGCTTTGTACAGTGATTTACAATGTTTGGTCAATAAACACGATAACTGCCTTTTATGGTCGAATAAATTCATAGAAAATATATTTGTTAATTATAGATGCTTATTGCTAGAAAACAATTCAAGGAATCTAATTGACGAACATTTGGAAGACATTGTAAAAGGATGCACGAATTTAGAAGGATTATCGCTTAAAGGATGTGCAAGACTTAGGTTTTTTCTTAGTACTTGCAGTGACAATTATTCATAATTACTTTATTCAATGTAAAGTCTATTTACTTCGTCTTAATTTGTGAAGTAAGCATTAATTGATATTCACGTGATAAAAGTAAAAATCATTTCATTTCTTTAAAATAACCATAATATTAATAACAAATATCATGCAAATCAGTACAAAATTTTTGATATAAAATGTTTTTTGCAGTGCTAAAAGTTTGAAACAAATTGGCGGATGTGAAAAAATGAAAGAATTGCATTTAGCTAATGTACCAAACTTGACAAATGAAATACTTCAGCATATTATACTTGGAACTCCAAGACTAAAAGTATTAAATATTGCCTACTGTAATTTAGTAAGTTACTTTTTGGAGTAGTATATCTGCGGTATTTTAATTCAAGTATTACATTCAAAGTTAATCTAATTTAAATTA